GTGTTTTCTTAACTGATTGTGCACGTGTATACGGATATATTAGTGTGTTTTATGGTGCGGTTATTTAAATGTTTTATTAATTTTTTACTGTTTTAATGTATTTTGTGGAGTGATTATTTAATTGTTTTTACAAATCGTTACTGGGTATAAGTGCACTTTATGCAACTGGGTATTAGTGCACTTTATGCAACGGTTATTTAAGTGTTTTGACATACTGTTACTGGTGTTTTAGTGTATTTTATGCAATGATTATTTAAATATTTTGATAAACTGTTACTGGTGTTTGAGTGTACTTTATGCAACGGTTATTTAAGTGCATTGACATATTGTTACTAGTGTTTTAGTGTATTTTATGTAATTATTATTTAAATATTTTGACAAATTGTTACTGGTGTTTGAGTGTACTTTGTGCAATGATTATTTAAGTGCATTTGCATAATGTTACTAGTGCTTTAGTGTAGTTAATGCAATTATTATTTAAATATTTCGACAAACTGTTACTGGTGTTTTAGTGTACTTTATGGTTATGTTATTTAAGTGTTTTGACAAACTGTTACTGATGTTTAATGTGTAATTACCTACGTGTTCCGGTATATTTTTGCAAACGTTCTATTATGCTTTCTAAAGTAATTACCCAAGAGTTTTGACATACATTTTCAAATATTTTACAATATTTCACGTTGTGACATGAACGTTTGCAAATTTATACCGACTCCTGCATGCCTCTATGTGTTTGTACATTTAAAAATCAAAAGCTTATTACATGTTTACACGAGTAGAAGTTAGAAAACATTTATGTTATCAAAATGCAAATTGATAAATACAGTTGATTAATCGTTGTGGCTCTGTTATGATTACAGAAGGGCAGCTGCCAAACCGCCACGTCCGAATCTGATAAAAGCAGCCAAGCAGCCAATCAGTCAAGCAGCCAATCAATCTCTAAGATGCAATGCCTACCAGATGTGCAGTCTCAGATGCCCTACCAATAAAACGATCACAGTGGTGCAAGTCAGCGATCGGTGAGTCGCATGCTTTACGATTCCTCCGGTTCCCATCATGTCGTAGGACGAATGGTCCGAAGCGACACGGGAACTGGTTGTATTTTATATTTTTGAGCGAGCATAGTGACCACGACTGTACGATCGTGCAAAATTCGTACAAACTGTTTATTTCATTTATTAGCTCAGGTCAGGGTTTTCTTGTACATTTTCTTTTTGCAATTTTAAAACTACATAGAAGTCGGATGACCCTCCGATTTCATAGTAATTATAGAGTCATTTTTAAATTCTTTTTACATTTTTATAAATTCTATCAATTCTCAAATATATACATATGTACAAGAAAGTTTCGCGGAAAACAGATTTCGATATCAA